ATCCGTATTCGCGCAAAAAACAGACCCGAAAAGTGATGCACTAATCGGAAGGTTCCCGAAGTTTGGACGGTCGGATCGAGCTGAAATGTTGAGGGGTGTTAGATATAGGAATTCCACAGCCGATCAACGGTTGGATCTTCCAAGGGACGTCCGAACTAGGTGCTGGAGACCACGCCCTAAACTCGCTCAGATTCCCATCCAGATTTGACAGGGCTCCGGTATATCGTAGATTGCCGGAGATTCCTCCATCGGAACTCGACGAAATTTTTCATGGTTGTTGTAGACTCAATTCCACACAACTCCACCAAAGGGATCGTCAAAGTGACGCTCTAAGAGGTGGCGGCAGCGGATACAAGTTTGTTGTTCGGAAAAACAACACGGTCGCCCGAGGGCAATGTTGACGTTGAGCCCCCGAGCTCCATGGATGATTCCTCCATGATCTTGATAGAGATCGGAGTTGATGTTGATGAAGGCCCTCGTCCGAACATGACGATCGGAGATGGAGCACGGTCCTCGGTCGAGTCAAGGTGACCAGTCGAGCCGGCGACGAAGATGCCGGCATCGCAGTTGACCTGCAGACGAGCCATCGATCCTTTTGCCGATCACACATCAAAACTCTCAATGAAAGCACCAATGTCGGTGTCAAAACCGGCGGATCTCGGGTAGGGGGTCCCGAACTGTGTGTCTAAGACGGATGGTAACAAGAGGCGGGGGACACGATGTTTACCCAGGTTTGGGCCCTCTCGATAGAGGTAATACCCTACTTCCTGATTGATTGATCTTGATGATATGAATATTATAAGAGTTGATCTACCACGAGATCGTAGAGGCTAAACCCTAGAAGCTAACCTATTGTATGATTGTTTTTCTATATCTATCGACTAACCTGGCCCTGATTTATATAATGCACCAGAGGCCTAGGATAACAAGAGTCCTAGCCGAATACACCGGTTGGGGAGGAGTCCTTGTCTTGACCACCAAGTCTTGTGGAATCTTCCTTGTATGCGGCAGCTGTCCGAACTGGCCCATACGGCCATGGGGGTCCTCGGCCCAATCTAACTGACCGGGAGACGATGTGGTGAGTACCCCCTAGTCCAGGACACCGTCACTAGGGTTATAGGGAAAGTTTGTACGTGGTTACCGAATGTTGTTCGGAGTCCCGGATGAGATCCTGAACGTAACAAGGAGTTCCTAAATGGTCCAGAGACAAAGATTTATATATGGGAAGTCCTTATTCGGTCGCCGGAAGTGTTCAGGGGTTTATCGGTATTGTATCGGGACCACCGAAAGGGTTCCGGGGGTCCACCGGCCCCGGAGGGCCCTATGGGCTGAATATGGAGGGGGGACCAGCCCCTAGGTGGGCTGGGCGCCAAACCCCCTAGGGCCCATGCGCCTAGGGTTTGGGAGAACCCTAAAGGGGGCGCCCCCCTTGGCTTGGGGGGCAAGCCTCCCCCCTTGGCCGCCGCCCCCCTCTAGATCCATCTGGAGGGGGGCGGCCTCCCTCTCCCTTGCCCCTATAAATAGAGGGGAGGCGGGAGGGCAGCCGCACCACATCCAAGGTGCAGCCCCCCCTCCCCAACACCTCCTCCTCCTCCAGCGACGCTTGGCGAAGCCCTGCCGGAGTACCACTCTGCTCCAACACCATCACGCCGTCGTGCTGCTGCTGGACGGAGTCTTCCCCAACCTCTCTCTCTCTCCTTGCTGGATCAAGGCGTGGGAGACGTCATCGGGCTGCACGTGTGTTGAACGCGGAGGCACCGTTGTTCGGCGCTTGGATCGGAATCTACCGCGATCTGAATCGCCACGAGTACGACTCCCTCATCCGCGTTCTTGTAACGCTTCCGTGTTGCGATCTTCAAGGGTATGAAGATGCACTCCCCTCTCTCTCTCGTTGCTAGTTTCTCCATAGACTGATCTTGGTGATGCGTAGAAAATTTTAAATTTCTGCAACGATCCCCAACAATACCATCCACCCCTGATGTCGCCATCCATGATGGAGCCCACGCTAACAAGTATTTGGAAAAATGCCATGATGGAATATTTTGACATTGTCATCATTTAATTTGAAGCAATCATGATGGTTGTGTACACGGTGAAGGAGGATGAATGGTTGAGTGTGGAGTTTCAAGGCATGAAGCATAATGTGGCATCTAGGAAGAGTGTGCATGTTTGGCTCAGTTAGCAGAAGCACTACGCGCTCTACAACATAGAAATGCCACATGATCACGGTGTGAAGCCGCTACGCCATCGATAGTACGCCATTCCAAACATCATCGACAAGTATTACAGTGCATGTGCACAAGTGTGAACAATGTGGCCAACAGGTTCATGACTCGAATAGCCCATAAGTTTGCCTTTTTGTTGCTCTATGTGTTGGTCATTTCATTGATTTTCTCAATGTTGCAACTCATTGGTCACCTCATTATCTAGAGCTAACATGTGTCCACACCGCACCAACCAACGGAGTGCAAACTCTCACAATGACTCATTATTGGATGAATCTTAATAGACATAGAAACTGGACCAACCAGTGCATATGAAGAAGTTCAGCAAACTGGAGGAGATGAAGCTTGAGATGAAGGTGTAATATCCTGTTGTATGAATGGGAGCGGTGATTTTTCTTATTCTTTCGAATGTGCATTGCATTCATGCATCTAAAAATTGGGATAAATTTAAAACTTCATTTCAATTTAGTTGAAGTTAGTTAAAATTGAATTCAAATACCAAATTTTCCATCACCTTTGCTCTTATATAGAGTTTTGGGTTCAACTGCAATTAAGAATTATGTTGAAGGACCTAAATGCTAAAAGTACAATTCATATGAATTGGAAATGCATTTATAAATAATTGATAGCAGAAATTCAAACACTGTTAATAATTGAATAAATAATAAAAATTAATATTACAAAAGAATAAAGAAATCTTTAATACAGCCTCCGTCCCGAAAGCTTGTCTTAGATTTGTCTCGATACTTATGCATTTAGACATGTTTTAGTGTTAGATATATCTATACCTAGAGAAATCTAAGGAAAACTTTTCGGGGCGGAGGAAGTGGAAGATTACAATTACATTTCTTGACTATAAAACTTGAGAAAAATGGAAATATACAGATTAGTTATTTCCTATCCTAATTATTCTTATTCTAATCTTCTTCTTCTTCATTTCCAAAAACCTGCAAAGTAGGCATCCAAGACAAAAGAAATGGTGTTATGGTTAAAATGTAGCATTTCCCTCTAGCACTTGGGAATATTGGCAATAGTAGCCAATCTCCATTTTATAAACAATAGACTGATCTCGACTTGAGAATAGCCAACCAGGAACAAATAGACAACCAGATGATCATGAACAATAGTTGAAGAGCCAGATGATCAAGTTCCAGGAAAGTATCAAGTCACAAAAGCCAACTAGAGAAAGATCATAGACCCAAACCCCCATGATCAGACAGTAACACTAGCTCTATAATCTTAAGCCACTCTAGTTTAGATGAAATCCACTAGTCATATAAAGATGATCTACTGTCAAGTGACAATAGAAGAACGTCATGGTTCATTATCAAAATAAAGCCCACAAAGATAAACACCAAACCCACCCGGCCAAGGGACAAGTCCTATGCAATTAGTCACCCAGCAGCTCTAAGGATCAGCATCAAGGAGCAAGTGACAACACCAAGCAGCTATTGTCTCGACGACAACTCTCATTCTGATCTACGACTAGACTCTCGGTAGTAACTCATCCACTTCATTGTAATCCCTCGCATGACGTACACCTACCATGAATTAGAACACAAAGCATGGCGTAGGGTATTACTCCTCACCGGAGGCCCGAACCTGGGTAAAACCCATGTGTGACCTCCGATTTGGTACTTCCAACCGCATTAGCAATCCTACCAAGGGTACTGAACAAATTATGCACCGTCAGACGGGGTGGTGGCGCGGCTCCCTTAACAGTGGGTGTGAATCCGATGACGGGGTGAGAGGGGCGACATGATTGGGGGCGTCGGCTGGCGCAAGGTTCAAGGTATGCACGAGGATGGTGGCGATGACGACCTGAATAGGCTGGGACGGAGACGGGTTAGGCGGCGACTGCGGTGGTGAAAGTTCAGGGGGTAGCAATTGGCTTCTCACGACCGCAACTTTGGTTTTAAGCTTTGTTCATTTGGATTGGTATATTAACCAATTGGGTAGAAAAATATAGGATATAGCCTAAAAAATAGCATCCATATAGGTTCGGATTAGCTGATGGAGCATTTTTTGACAAACGGCTGTGTTTTTTAGGCTGGGTGTGGAAGATGATCTTGCTCACCGTTTATGGAATAGACACTCTCAAGCATAATTGTCCGTCATCTTATAAACCCAACCAGTGCAGTCCTAAACTGACAAAGTACATTTAGGAACTAGAACATCAATCTTAAAGATCAGGAGAAAACAGAGCAATATAAACAATATGCAAGTCATATAATTAACATCTATACTTGACATGCTCCTATAAAATTACTTCAATTGTCCAAAAAAACAATGCAACTGAAGTCTGAAGTAGCCTGATCTTCCTGCCACAAGACAGAACAAAAATAACACGAATTGAGATTTAGTTACGTCGCTACGCTGATAATTTCCTCTCAAAACATGATTAAGGAACAAAGATCATGTAACTGTAACCAATGGCAAATATAACAAACCATGTAAGAAAGAACGCCCCCAACATATAAAAATCCACCTCTCTGATGATCAAGAATTCCAGATCAATCCCCATGTAACAAAAAAGCAGCTTAAATAGCTCTATTCACATTTTTGCCCTGCATGTGCCAACTCTAATGAAGTGGCGTTTGCTCTGTGCATCTAAATCAAAATTTGCCTTATTTAGGTCTCCCATTTTCGAGTTCTTGGTTTGTTTTCCAATGTGGCATATATAGTTTACGAAAGGGAGGAGCCGAGGAAGGAGTGAGGGAGTGAAGCGAGCAGAGTGAGTGGCCGTCGGCGATGGAGCAGTGCCATGTGTAGCGATCAGGGGTGGAGAAGGGGGAAGTAGTCGGCAGGGGTGATGGAGTGGCGGAAGTGGCAGCGGTAGCTGTAGGGGCAGAGGCCGCCGCCGATGACCATGCGGCAGACCTGGGTCTTGTAGCGCGGGTGGCGGATGATGGGGCGGAGCTCGGCGATGCCGTGCGCGAACTGGCACTGGTCGGCGTACAGGCACGCCCCGCTCTCCTCCCACTTGTTGCACAGCTCCGTCTTGTACATGCCCTGGCTGTACGCCTCGAACTCCAGCCCGCTGGCGGACTTGACCACCTGGCCGCGCCTGTCCCCGCCGCTGCTGCCGCCCTGGTGCTCCTCCGCCTTGCCGCCGTCCACGTCCACGCCCACGAACACGCGCTGCTGCTCGCATTGCACAGACACCAGCAAATCGTCGAACAGGTGAGCGGCATGGCACAGAAGCGCGGAATTCAGTCGAACGAGTGGAGGGGTTGGGATTCGATGGTCTCACCGAGCCGGCGTCCATCGGCTTGGTGACGCGATGCTTTCCCTTGCCGCCGCGCCTGGCCATCTTCAGGTAGCCCGTCGAGCGGATGGAGATGCTCTTGGGCATCACCGCGTGCTTCTCGGCCGGGGAGGCGGGGCCCGCCATGGGCATGGGCAGCACCGGTGGAGACGCCATGGCCTGCACCGGCACCGGCACCTGCATCTGCCCGAGGTGCAGCCCGCGGAGCTGCCCGGCCAGCGCGACGGCGGAGGCCTGGTTGCCGCCGAGCATGGCGAAGCGGCCGGCAAGGTCGTTGTTGACGACGCGGAGCTCGGAGTTCTCGAGGCGGAGCGCGGCGGCCTCGCGCGCGGCGTCGGCGAGGTGGCGGAGGCAGAGCTCGTAGCGGTTGGTGGCGTCCTGGCACTGGAGCGCGAGGCGGGCGAGATGCAGGCGGTGCTCCGTGGCCGCCGCATCGTCGACGCGGGAGCCGGAGGTGGAGGAGGACCAGGGGGTGCCGCTCAGGTGCGTCCTGGGGCTCGGGGTGAACGGGGAGCCGCGCGACGAGGTGCTGGGGCTCGGCGTGAAGGGGGCGCGCGGCGGAAGCGTGGGGCTCGGCGTGAAGGGGCTGCCGCGCGGCGACGGGCTGGCGCACGGGACGAAGGGAGTGCCGCGCGGCGACGGGCTGGCGCACGGGACGAAGGGGGTGCCGAACGGCGACGGGCTGGGGCACGGGACGACGGGGATGCCGAGCGGCGACGGGCTGGGGCACGGGACGAAGGGGATGCCGAGAGGCGACGGGCTGGGACACGGGACGAAGGGGGTGTAGCCGCCGTAGACGAAGAGCCCGAAGGCGACGGGGTGGGCCGGAGCGAGGGGAGCTTCCTGCATGGCGGCGGCTCCCACCCGTGAACAACCTGCAGCGAAGCCAAACGGATCGGAATGTCAGAAATATTAGAAGAAAAATCCCGTAAAAACATAAATCTCTGCAGCAGAGGAACTGCCGCTGGCATCCGTAGTAGGCGCCCACGATCGAGCACGGGACAAATTAAACCACCCAGCATTGCACCCGCTGTTTCAGAAATCAAAAGGAACTCGATCGCAATCATGGCGACGACAGCAACAAACACAGCGACGCCCCATTCACGGTGACGACGAACCAAAAAAAAAATCCATCAACAGAGACACGGCGACGAGCGGGGAACACCGGCACTGCTCGCATTGCGCTCCCCAAAACGACGGATGGAAACCTCTGACTGATCAAGCGCGACTGAAACAATTAATCGAGCGAGATAGTGGTCCAAGCAGCGGTGCGGGAGGATCGATCGATGGAACTGCACCTGCGAGTCGGTCGAGCAGCGCCGCCTGCGTGCGTGCCGCCGGAGGAGGGATGTGGCGGCGCCGGATTTGGGGCGGACCGGTGCGGATTTGGGCCGCGTGGAGGGTGGAGAGAGAGAGGGGGGCAGGCGGAGGAGGACGTCACCGGGTGTGGAGTGGGTGCCGTCCTGGCCACTGTGTATAACCGTCGCGGCACGCGGCGCGAGGGTCGAGAAGATCCGGTGGGTCCCGGCCGTCAGTCTCCGGAACCAGGGTGCGCGCGGTGGGTTTCTGCCCTGTCCTGGACAGCTGTCGGTGACCCTGCGCCGCGACTTGGCGAGCACGCTGCCCTCAGCGACGCCTTTTCGGGATGCACTGCGGCGTGCTCCTCCTCGGGATGCTTTTCATCAACAAACGAAAAATAGCAATCCCTGGCTAAGTTTTTTTTTTTTTTGCATCGAATCCCTGGCTAAGTTCGAACACACACTTTCGCACAAATTTTGGGCAAACTGCCACGCTTTGCTGAAAATGCCGTGTTTGGCGTCACGAGCAGGTGACCCCGGTTGATTTCTAGGGGCCTCTTCGGATCGAAGGACTTTCATATGAATTCCTGATGATTGGAGACACTAGAATTTCTTCTTCTTCTTTTTTTGCGAAAAGGAGACACCAGAACTTCTTCCCACGACGAGTAATTTGAAACGGAGGGAGTAGATTACAAAAACACGGGATTGTGATATCATGGTAGTACGCTGAATCACATAGAAACTAAAAAGCACGAGAATCTATTATAGAAGTTGTTTGGATGCGCCACGAGCAAAACACAAGAACTTTGGTGAAAAAGTAGATGTATGTCATTGTTGTAATAGGCACAAAACGCATTTTTCTTCCCGGGCAGATAGAAGGGAAGTTTTTCATTTAGAACCGCACACACACTAAACTATATGGAAAAAATCATATGGTTTTTTGGTTCTACGGGCAAAACAATTCACGTAGAAAAAAACTTCTAAGGGATATAATCATCAAAATTTCTTATAAAATTCCTAACTAAAAGGGTGCCAACACAATCTCGTAAGATTCAAGTGAACACAATACTATAATCATTTTTCTATGTTCCCATATTCTTTGGAATTGTATGAATTGAACATAATCTCAACGTAGCCATGGCACATGGCAAAGGCGAGATTTTTCAAATATGTTGAAAGTGGAGAAAAGTGCTATTTGATATGGACCCTTTAAAGGCCCAAGTGTGGGTGGATTTACTATCGGCCTTTACCAAGAGCATTGTCCTTCATTAAAGAAGATATCACGAAAGCGAGATCTCCTAATTGATTCTTATAGCGCCCGTTTAGGCTGTTGGCGCCCATGAGTGAGGTATATGCACCATGACCAGCAAGCGTTTTTGAGGATTTCTCAGATGGCTAACATTGACTTTGAACATTGATCGGTAACAATTGACCATGGTCGTCGACCATTAAGTTTTTAGAAACTGTGACCATGAAAGAGTTCATAAAAACTTTGAAAAAAAATCATGGAATTTAAAAATGTTCGTAAATTCAAAAAAGATAGAAAAAATGAAAAAAAAAAGTTCAAGAGTTTGAGAAAAAATCAAATATTTAAAACAAATCGTGATTTTGAGAAAACGTGGTAATACGAAAAAAATTCATGAATTTAACAAAGGTGCATGAATTTGGAAATTGTATCAAATTTTAAAAAGGTTTGCAAAATCAATAAGGTTTTATGAATTTGAAAAAGTTCATGATTTATAGAAACTATTTTTAGTTTCAAAAAAATTCAAAATTTTCGAAAGATTTCAGGGAATTTGAAAAAGTTCATTCATTTCGAAAAATAAAAAGAAAAAAAAGAAAAAAAACAGAAACAAAAAAAACGGCAGTTTTACCAGTGGGAGAGCTTCACAGGAACCTGTCTACAAGATCCTCAAAAAAAGAAAAAAGAACCTGTCTACATGGTCGGGCCCAACAAATCTAGCACAGGGGAATGCGGGGTGTGCTGTGTTTACGGGTTTTCCTGTAACCGGCGCTATATGCGCTTAATAAGTGTTGGCCATGAAAGCGGTATAAGAGCATCTTCAGCCGTTGGCCCCCCAGGACGCATGAAAACCGTCCTCCGGGGCGCGACGGCGATACAACGGGCGCTGAGGGCGGTTTTACGCCCAGTCGTCGCTCCTAGGCGCTGATATTGGCTCACTTTTCAATCCATTTGCGGCGAATAAAGGGCCCATATGGATGGGAATAGGCCCATATTCGGCGTGGTTCGCCGTGGCTCGTCGTTGAATTATGAACATAAATATTTTTTTATCACATATTTCATCACAGAAAAATCAAATTGTTTAACAAAATAGTACAACAACAAATAGTTCAATTTTTCCGGCGGCCGGAAACGCCCAGCTGATGTTGGAAGGGCTGCCGCGGCGAACCTATGCTATTTTTCCGGCGGGGAATGGCTA